CCCTGGTGCTGGCTTCTCCCCTCCGGCTATCCGCTCTCCCGCAGAGGCCCCTCGCTGAATGGAAAGTAGTTTCAAAGGGGCGCCCAGGACTGGTTATTTCACTAATTTAGGTTTCGTTAAGAATTAGCTTAGGTGTCGTCTGACACACAACATCCCTATGAAATCTGGAGAAAACCTATTTCTTTAACCGGTTTCTGCATATACCCACACCACTGAACTACAACAAAGAGGAAAAGACTTGAGGTTTTTAATGAAATCGCAGTGAAAACAGCAGTACTGATTCTCCTGCCAAAACTCTTGAGCGAGATACATCAAGAAACAAACAGCTAAATGATTATGCTGTCACATTTGTAACATAGTTTTTATTCTTCCATTTAGTCACCTAATAATAATGGGGGTTATTTGCAAGATAAGAATTAGATGGTATAGGAGTATAATTTTTTTACGTTTCATGTATATGTGATTGAGAGCCTGTGTGTACATCGCATTCTCTGTAAGTGGGTCACGAAGGGAGAGCTGTGACACTGCAGCAATAGTGTGGACTGAACCCACAGTTGTCTCACAACCACAGCGAAGCTTCGGGTAGCTGGGGGCTCCAACCCGGCTGGGACATGCAAAGCGTGCTGCAGTGTTTAATGGGATGTGGCAAGGCACAATGGGAACTCGGTTATGGTTGTACATGAAGTCTTCTCAGCGTAGGTAGGGGCTGGGGCTTGGACGTGGGGAATTTTTGCTGTTTATGACTTGATTTTTCTGGGAAGAGTCAGAGTTTTGCTGCATGGGTGTTTGGTTTATGCCCTTACTGCAAATAAAGAGATGTACTATTCTTTCCTTAGGAGTAGGCAAAAGACTATCTTAGGTATTTCTTTTTTCATAAGGATGGCTTTTCTGAAGTTTCCTCTTTTTTTCCTTTTGTCCTCATTTTCCTTTTTTTTCGGTGAGAGCAGAGAAACTGACAGTTTCTGTGGCATATTAAAGCTCGCTCTCCTAAAGAACTCTATTTGTAGAGTTGCTCTCTCTTTAAAATGTGACAGCTTGTCTCTTTCTTTTTATTTCATCTTGATTACCTTGCTAGGCCTATTGAGTCAAGGATTTGTAATGTGGCAAGACTAGCGCACTGCCTGCGTTGCTTCTCTTGACATTGTACTCAAGATCAGATCTACGGAAAATACCCATTTTTATTCTGGGTGGTTATTTTATTCCTAATAGCTTAATACCATTTCTTTCAGTAATATCTAATTTTCTATCTGTCCTTCCACTTGAAAATATTGCCTTGATTTTCATAAAACCAAAACCAGCCAAGTCTGTGAATAAATAGGTAAAAATCAATTTGTAAGAACTAACTTTACAAATGGAATTTGGTGTATTCAAGAGTTGTAGTCATTCTTAATCCATGTGAAGCTGGTGTAGGCCCAAGCCAAGTAAAAGAGAGACATGTTTAGTTCTTTTCAGAGTATAAAACCTGGTTTTAGGTGTGTAGGCTTTTTCTGTTGTAGTGGTAGAGGAGCAGTTCCTGAATTACTGAGATTTGAACAAAGAGCCAAGTAGATGTGGGCATTGAGAAGGACTAAGTGTGGGGACATTGCTGGGCACCTGCTTCTCTTGGAGAGTTCAGGTTCCCAAACCAGAACTCACAATTGATTCTCTCTGCTTCAGTGCCAGAACCCACTCCTGAGGTAAGTGTCAACTGGCATATTTTGAAAGAACTGAGAGGAATTTCTGCCCTTCTTGAAATCTTGCAGGGCAATGAACTGCTGGAATTGCTCCTTAGCCTTATGGTACCACAGAGCTTAGGGTGCTTGCCATGGAATTTGAAGGTGTTCTGTGTGGTGCTTGCAACAAGAAGCTCTGATATTTCTCGTGTGCCTTCATCATGGAGCTGCCAGCTGGTACAGAACCATGTGGCATACCTTCCTTTGTGCGACTGAATCGTCGGGCCTGTGCTGGCCCGCTGCTCAGAAGCGCAAGCAGGAAGAAACACAGTATTTTCTCATCTACTGGTTAGAATGCTCAAACCCTGAAATGATTTCAGGAAATTTT